TATCTGAAGATTCTGATGGGAGATGAAGGGGCCTGCATTTTCCTTTTCTTTTTTCTTTCCCTCCTTTCATCCCTCCTTCCCTTCCTTCCTCTTTCCATTTCTTCCTTTTTTTAAGGATTTACACATTTAGACAAGGCCTCAGACATTCCCAGTTCCAATTTGCATTTTTACCAAATACTGCAGATGTTTCTGGGAAGGTAATTCAATGTTCTGAAACACGAGAAACACAGTTTTAAGCCCACTACCACTTATGATAAAACTGACTTTGCATTTTTGGGCACCCCTCTTTTTGAGATCTTTGGTTTTTGTTTATTCCTCATTCCCAAATCAGCAAATTACTCATTAACTTTATTTCAAGCAAGGAGTTTAAGTTGTTCTGGGGTAAGATGGAAGTGAAAAAGCAATAGATGCTTTTAAAATGGAATTAGGAGCTGCCCTTGCTCTCGTCATGAATCACATTGTCTATGACCTGGATAAAGCTGAGTGACAGATGTTATGACTTCAGGCAGGCGCTCCTTAAACTACTGAAGTTTATGAGTAAGTTTCAGAGTCATAGAATTCCGAAGCCATTTCTGGTACATGTAGCTTCATGTCATCTTTATGATAATAAAATGGTCTTTACCTGATACCTCCATCATTTTTTTTTTTGGTCAAGATGTAGATAAAAAGATGAGATGCAAGAGAACTTCTGCCCATACCTATCTTTGCTTCATTGCTTATTTACTGGAAGTAATTTAGGTAAACACTGGTTTCTGGTTGGTGGCTCAACATCAGCGAATGGCCCTGCAGGTATTAATTTTCGAAGTCATGAAACAGATGTGTGGCGTTTTTTTTTTTTTCTCGTCATCTATTTATTTATTTATAAATGCATTTCTAGGAAATTCCCTAAAGCATTGAGCTAGGTTTTTGCTGTCAAAGTGGACTGATTTTCCTTTTCACAGATTCCAAGTGTGCCACTATCCCGCCCATTACGATGGGTTATATGGTGCGGGCTTGAACGTTAAAACTCATCCCTTAAATTTCCCTTTCATCCTGGAGTCTCTCCCAGGCATACCTTGTCTCTTGGCTTATGTGATTAGCAGAGATGCAGACTACAAAATCAGCATTTGGATCTCTTAGTAGTTTTCCATCTGGCAGCTGCTCTCTCTCATCTGTCCATCAACCTTTGACATTTGCTGGAGAAGCAACAGGAGAAACTAGGAAGAATATCACCCTTGACAAACATTTTCAGCTATTCACTTTTTTATTTAAAAATAAAATAAATGCTAGCAAGACATTTCAAAATGTTTTGTGATATTTTGACATATAAAGTTGGTACTTCTATCTTTTAGTATCATTTCCCCTTTGGCTTTGTCTAAGTTAAAATGATTTAAACCAAGGCAAGCATTTATAGTTTAAACTCACTGAAAATGGCCATGCTAATAATTGGCACTCCCCACTTCAGTTTCCTGTCTGGTTTCTTCAAGGCAACTATACCTTCTGCTTCCCTTTCCCTGTCTGCTCAGTGACCTCTCCTTCCTCTTCCTCCTAGACACAGATGAAGGGCTGGAGAGATGGCCCAATGTTTAAGAGCACTTGTTGCTCTTTCAGAGAACCTGGATTCAATTCCTAGTACTCATATGGTAACTTATCACCATCCTTTGCTCCAGTTCTAAGAGATCTGATGCCCTCTTCTGACCTTCATGGACACCAGGAACACATATGGTGAACATGCATACATGCAGGCAAAATGTTCATGCACATAAAATAAAAACATCTTTGAAAACAGGCTCAAATATCAAGCCTCAAATAGCAATTTCCCCACCTACGATTTGACCTGATTTTTGCATAACCGCTTGGGTGAGTGAGTTAGGAGTCACCCGTGTGTTGTATCTGCTTGTCTCCCATTAACTTTGGTGCTAAATTTAGGCTATTTGTTTTTGACTCACTTTCATAATTCAAATCTACAGTTTAGGACTTGGCTCTTTATCAAAGTGAAAATTCTTTTTGACAGGCAATTCCTGGCATACAGTGGGAGCTTGAAAGTGTATTGAATGAATAAATGAATGTTTACAATTCATATGCCTCCCCTTCTCATATAGCTTATATTCTAGAGTGGGAATTCTGGTAGGTTCTACTTTATATTCTTCTGGGAAATCTATTTGAAAACACTCTCCCACAAAATGGCCCTGTGAAAAAGGACTGACCCAATGGGGTGATAAATAGCTGTGTTCCTTTTTTATATTAGGTTTTCTGTGTCATGTGAATATTCTCTTTGAGGTCATGTATTTGCTTATACGCCACAGAGGAAAGCCTGTTTCCCTTTCTAATCTTTGGATGCCATGCTGTTCTAGATACATTGATTTGCTTCTGGTTTGGCCTCCTAAGCTCTGGAGAACTGTGTAGAGGAAAAGGAGCAAGCTGAGGGGGCAGAAGCATCCCTGTGCGTTTCCATCATCATGCTTCATGGCTGCCCTGCTGTTTCTTAGCTTCTCTTTCCTGGTGTAGGAAACATAAATGCTGTGTTAGGAAAAGTAAGAAAGTCCAAAATTCCGCCAGGCGGTGGAGGCGCACGCCTTTAATCCCAGCACTCGGGGAGGCAGAGGCAGGCGGATCTCTGTGAGTTCCAGGCCAGGCTAGACTGACAGCCTCCAAAACAATACAGAGAAACCCTGTCTCATAAAACCAAAAAAAAAAAAAAAGAGAGAAAGTCCAAAATTCCAAAGTGGGGTTTTACCTGTGTTGTGTCATCAGAAGCTGCCCTGTGTCTATGTCCACTAGATAGTGCATTGAAAACGAAGAGCCCTCGACCACACTTCACCTGCTCACTGCCATTCTTGGAGACTTGGCTGAAATTTTGTAGAAGTCCTGGACATTTATATTCTACCCCTGCCTTGAGATTTGCTGTCCTTGCCCAATGTCACATCAGCTCTAAGGTAGAAAATTAAATATAAAACAATTCCAAAGGCCATTTCTAATGTCTAATAGAATAAACTATGAGCAGTGTTTAAGGGTATAAGTGAAGAGCATTGATTACACTTTTGATGAGGAAATTATGGAAAACAAGACATACATGGACAGCTTTATTTATTTACTTTAACCATGTGATAATAATAGCCTTTCTATGTGAGATCTAGATGCTGACTTATTTGCCTTCCTGACTTTTGCTCCTCTGGTCTTCCTCAGAACTCTTGCTTCTTGCCTTCCAGCATGTAGATATCTATTTATCACACTGGTCCAATGTTGATGGGGTGCAGGCAAGAAACTTGTCTTACTGGATCTGCTCTGCCATAAGACTGCCAATTCTACTGCCTTCTCTTTGCATTATATTTTTTCTTTGATAACCTTTTGCTTAAAATCTTTCCTTCTAGGAGTCAGGTAGGCCCTCTTTTTGCAGTTTAAAGAGAGGGAGCAGTGGCACACATACCACTGTCAGTAAGGTGTGATGTTAGTGACACTACACAAGCTATTCCTGGGGGGCTTGGCACAGAGCAACTCATTATTAATGCATTGTAAACAGTGTCATTTACCCTCATTCTGTGACTTTAACACAGGGTCATAGGTGAATCTCATGAGATCCAGTTGCAGGGCATGGTCCATATTCCTTCCTTGGGCTGTTGTATGGAGTAGGCATCAGTCAGCATTGGTAGCAGGGCAGCTCAGCTTATAATTCCTTTTTCTCTCTTTGGGCTGTCTCTTGATCCTGGTCTTTCAGTACTTGTGCCAGTTGCCTTGAGTGATGCCCGTTGCTTGGTGTTGGCTGGAAAGATCTTCATATACCCTTATTTTCTTGCCTCTCTTTGTCCAGCTCTTCCTTACATGGAAATCAGTGTTTTGTGATCTCTCCCTTATTTCTTAGGGACAAGATGTCATTAAGGTCACGGCTGATGTAATTAGAAGACCCTAGTTCAAGACTTTTCTCTGAAACTTAACTGTAGGACAGAGTATAGATCACATGACACCTCTCAGTCCCTGTTCATTTCATAACATGTACTAAAATGTAGTCCTCATGGGATTGTAATGTGGGATTTAGATGAAATAAATGTGTGCTGAAAACAATTACCAATAACTATAATTGATAGTTCTTGGTATTTGTGGCTACTAATTACAATAGCCATGTGGGACAGTGTATGTTAAAAAAAGACAAAAAGCAGCAGACCTTTTACTTTACTATGGTAGGTTTTTTTTATCAGATTCTAAAAACATAAATGGAGGTCCTTCAAGGCATTTATGGTCTTGTAGTAATAAGGTAGATATATCATTTCATACATACAAGGAGAGTATAAACAATGTTGTGAGATTATCAAAGGAGTCAGTGGACTCAACTAAGAGGGAATGATTACTATTTATACTGTTTGAGTCACTTAGTTAAGCATAAATGTAGTGGGAATAAAGTAAAATAGTTCCTTTGTGTGCAGCTGTATTTAAAGGAACACACACAGGCATAACTCAAGTGGACTTTTATGTGGTATGGAAAAGACTCTCATTTTTGAAGACATCTCACTGTAATTTGAGCAAATATTGCCATAATATATACAGGCTGCCTGCTGGTAGGGATGCTGCCTCTTAGAACTGCCCTGGACAAACTGCCAGCAGCAGTACCCCTCTCCCTCTGACTTTTGTTACAGTCTTTGGTAAGCAAAATAACAAGATGATTCTTCTAATGTAGACAAGTATTGGGATCTTGAGCCTATGATCTTGTTACCATTGTGGTCCTGTGAGTAGGGTCATGCTATGGAGTTAGGTGAGTAGGGTTCCTGTCATTGTGGAGTAGCTGGATGAAGCAAGATGCTGGCCTTCGAGATGCATGAATTTCTGAGTAGATTGCTTTATTAATGATTCCTTTTCACTGGTCCGCAATGGAAGGAAGGAACAGACTGTGTAAAATGTATATAAGCTGTGATGTTCTGTTGTATCAGATCACACTTCGGTCTAGAAAGAAACTAACAACTTATATTAACAAAAAGCTGGGGACCATGAATAATATGTTTCTCCTCTTTTCTTCCATTTACTGCAAATAGTTGACACCCCAGATCCTTATGTGGAACTCTTCATCTCTACAACCCCCGACAGCAGGAAGAGAACAAGACACTTCAATAACGATATAAACCCCGTGTGGAACGAGACCTTTGAGTTCATTTTGGATCCTAATCAGGAAAATATTCTGGAGGTAAGTGAATCATCTGGGGCCAGTGGACAGAGCTCATTCCCAAGAAGAGAGATACCTTGTCTTTTCCCTATTGTGGTTGCCTGTGAACTGGGTGTCCTGCTTGCTGAGCCTCTGGATGGTATGCATGAGTCAGGTGAGTGTCCACGTGGAATTTCAGGATGCTTGTATAGTTTGGCCAAGGTATATTTTCTGTTCTAAAGATTAGAGTTTTTTTATAAAACAATATAAGTAGTATCAGTTGCTTTTAAGATATATTTACACTGGGATTTTTCTTTAAAGCAGTTGCATTGTTTTCTGTATTAATTTCTTCTCCATATTTCAAAACATAGAGATAATAATATTTCATTTTTGTAAATAGTGGTCAATTAGAAATATGTAAAATTTATTGTTTTAAATAGAAGTGTTATTTGGAAGGAAAAAGTGAAAGTATTGTTGTCTGTTAAATACTGAGACCTCTAGGGGATGTGTCTAGAGCTCCATTATCTAGAATGGACTGTAATTAAAAAACACAAAAACAAAACAAAAACAAATGCATGAGGACCTTAAGGAACTGTGAACTATTACATACTTTAGATTTTTAAATTAACCTTTATGAGACAGACTCTTGTTTCCATATCTGGCTAGCATAGAACCTTCTGTGTAGACCAGGTTGGCTTCAAACTCCAGTTATCCACCTGCCTTGCTCCTTGATTGCTGGTATTAAAGATTTTATGTAACCTCGCCTAACCAAGAACATTTTTTAATGTGACAAGCAGTTTTTTAGTATTTTGTGTTTTAATTTTATGTGTGGAATATTTTGCCTGCATGTGTGTATATACACTGCGCACATAAAATACACCATGGAAGTGAGACAAGGGCATTAAGTTCCCTAGAACTGAAGTTACAAATAGCAGTGACCCAACATGTGGGTACTGGGAATTGAACTTAGTTCCTTTTCGAAGAACATCTAGTGCCCTTAACTGCTGCACCATCACTCTGGTCCGCCGTGATAGACATTTTAGATAAGATTCCTGGAAACTATTTACACTCTGTTTCACTTTGTAGATCACATTGATGGATGCCAATTACATCATGGATGAAACCCTTGGCACAGCTACGTTTCCTGTATCTTCTATGAAGGTGGGAGAGAAGAAAGAAGTCCCTTTTGTTTTCAATCAAGTAAGTAGCAGCAGAGTCACTTCCCACTTCATGTTCCAGATGCTTCAATTCATTTTACAAAGTTGGGCTTCATGTTTGGAAACTTCTGTTTCCTTATAGAATGCTTTTCCTTTTATTTTGCTTGCTCTTTTCCCTCCTGTCCTTACCTTGTACTCTCTTGTTATTCTTTGTGGTGCTAGGGTATGCACCCAGGAACTTACATGGGTGAAGCAAACATCGTTGACCTATATCCAGAGATCCCCCCCATGCTAATATCTTATCACTAAATATGTAATCCTTGACTGAGGTGATAAATACTCTGAGACATTACTTTTTTGTTGTTCCAAGTAATAAAAGTGAAATTAATCAATAGCTTTGGACTTCGACTCCGTTGGAGGATCCATCAATACAAAGCATTTGGGATAATAAGATGTTGCAAAATGCAACATTTTGTGATGCTTTGTTGGAACGTGTATTTACTATTACTATAAATGCATCTATAATATTGAATATATTGCTATAAACTAAGTATCTCTAAGGTAATAATTCTGACTCAAATAATTAGGGCCACATCAGAAAAGGTCAAAGGGATGGTGTTGGGTTATCCTTATTATCTTTATACTTTCAGATTTGTCACAGTTTTGTAGTCATTTATGAATAAAAACAGCCTTGGGAATATGATTTGTGCAGAAGAAACTCATTGCATCTTAATGGATGATAAATGTATGAGAAACAAATTGGAGACTTTATGGTGAGATGTGCAATTGACTGGTTGATTCAGTTAACACATTTTATCATGTCTAAGAAAACACCATTTTCACTCATCCTTAGAATGACTTTCAACTTCCTCTGCTAACACAAACCTCTTTCCCTTAACTCTCAGTTACTCCATGCTCCCTGTCCTATTGCAAGCTCAGACGATTTCTTCCTATTTGATCCCCCAGGATAATCCATAGTATTGTCTGGTACTATCTTATTTATGCCCAACTTATCCAATTGCACTGGTAATAAAGGTATATAGGCTAAGAGAAGTGAAATACTAACTATATGTGTCTTTACATGGTTTGTGTGCACACCATGGATATGCACTAACTTAGAAATTAAGATTTCAAGTTTCTTGAGAGTTCTCAAGAGAATTTGAGAAACTCCATCTGTGCATTCCCCCACAGGCACTTTCCCTGCTCTGGAGGGCATGTCTACCAAGAGTTGTGAGCCTCACTTCTCTGTGAATACCTTTTAGCTTCATTTCATTCACTCATCCATTTAATAAACATTTATTGAAACTCTACAATGTACCATATAAGAACATATATGTTCTTAGGTATATAAGAACAGGGAGTTATTCCCTCAATTATCTTCCTCTGATGTAGAGGTGATAGTGAAGGTTGTAATAGGAAGAAAAAGGAATTATATATGTGTGTTTGTGTGTGTATGTGTGTGTGTGTGAAATAATAAATCAACATGCATTGAGATAAATATCAATGATATATGTATAGAGTTTAATTAGAGGGCAGAATAAAGGAAGTTTGTCTTGTGAGAGGAAGCCCCAGGTCATTTGAACAGTTTGAACAGTAAACATAGTGGTTAACACCTTGATATCGACGGTAGTCCATTATGCCTTTGAATTCCTGATTACCTTTTTCATCCTGTAAATTTGGTACTTTCTTTGTGACTCATCTTATTCATCTGTAAAACTAGGGATAGTATCTTATGAGGGATTTATTATGATAACTATATACATTAAAATATATAATGAATATATAATTTCAAGTATAACTTGTTATAATTTATTGCATAAAATATAAACTATGCAACATTTAGATAGTTTAAATATTAATTATTGTGCATTCTACATTAAGTATGCAATGATAACTGAAACATATAAATAGTAAACATGCTATATGTGTGCATATATACCATGCTTACAACAGTGGCTGGTACATATTAAGCACTATGGATGACTGGGCTTTGCTTTTGCTGCTGTATGACTTGAGAAGAGAGTAGTGTTTCACGGGGCAGAGATATAGCTTTAAGCATTCTAGACAGAAGCAATTGCAAAAGCGTAGTCTTGAAAGAAGGAAGCAAGATGGGGCAAGTTAAAGGCTTGCCAGCTGCGCAGTGTGAGTAGTGGGGCAAAGAGCAGAGGTGGTCAGAAATATCTGGAGGTCTTGCCTTGGATTTTAATGAGAAAGTTGTGTAAGCATGGATTAGCCTTTCCAAAACAGGCCTTTTGTTTCCAATACCTGATCCAAAAAAACTGATTATAAAAGAAGACATTATAGGAAAAAAAACATTTCCTCTCCTTCTGTCATTTCCTATGGTTAAGTTGTATAACCCCAAGCTCCGAAGAGGCTTTCTACATTCCTGAATTCAAAGTAGGTTATGCAATTGCTTTCCTTAGTGTGTCTGGGAAATAGCTAGCCAAAGAGCTTTTCTTCATTACTGTTCTCTCTAGAGCCCCTTGGAGTTTGTATTTGGAGTCAATCCTTTGTGTTGATGAGCTGCGGTTGTCCTTGGGAGAAAGAATTGCTGGTTGAGGGAAGAGTCTGCGACTCTTTCTTGGATCATGTGGAAGTGCCCTATGGGAACCTTCTATTCCTCTTCACTTCCTGAGATAGGATCTGCCCTAGGTGGGAGTTTTCTGTCTGTAAAGCTCACAGATGTGTAAGACAGAATAAGCCATCAGGGAATGCTGGGAGAGTGCAGACTTAAATAAACCCTGAAGATGGTTGTGGCAATATGTCATAATAAGAAGAGCACTTGGCCTTGGTGAAAAACTACAAAAATTATAAGCCAAGACATTCCTAGTCAAAGTTCCCTCCAGCTTTTGGCATCTGAAAGCTAATCTGACTCAACACGGAGTGGTGTCTATAGCCAGCAGACAACTGGAGAATCCACAAGAACCTCCTGTTGGTAGGGTCTGACTCCCAGGGACAGTTCTGGCCATTTAGGGGTTTGGAGCCTGGACTCTTGTTTTTCTTGACACTATTCTCCTTCCAGATATTTGTATTATCATTAGCTTTTCGTCCGGGTCTCACTTTCATCCTTAAAATGCATTATCTTCCAGCTGCTCTCTATCTTAGTTCATTTGACTGCATCCCCCCAAAACCTCTCAATTCTTTCACAGATACGGAAAATACAAACAGCAAGAGTCAAACTTTCATTGACATATTATATAATTTCAAACTTCTGACTTTGTCATTGCAATGACAAACTTTAATACGAGAAGAATGTGAATTCTTATTGCATGCTTGAAACTTGCTAAGCATTGCAGAGGCATGAAGGTCCGTTTTCAAGAAACCAGTAATCTGTTTGAAAAGTATATAGTCATGTGTAAAGTGACGAGTAATATGTGAGGAACTTGTGGGTTCCATGTGACTTGCTTCTTCATGAACAAACAGCGGATGACATGACGGGCAGTGTCCTCATATTCTCGTAAGGATGGTAAAGAGACACTTATGAGCAAGTGAATAATCACTCAGCACCAGCTAGTGATAAATTTCAGGAAGAAATTTCCACAGAACAATGTGATAGAGCTGGGCGTGGTGGCACACCTCTGTATTGTGAGCACTAGGGAGGCTGAGACAGGAAGATAATGATTCTTGAGCCAGTGTGACCTATATAACTAGATCCTGACTTTAAGAAGTAAAAGAGGGGCTGGAGGGCTGGCTCAGTGGGTAAGGCACCTTCTGTCAAGCCTAACAACCTGGGTTTGACCCAAGAACCACATAGTGGAGGGAGATAAGTAATTTCTCCAAGTTGTCCTCTCACCTTCACATAAAAGTGCTGTTGTCATGTGTGGGAGACCACATGCATAACTACACACGTGCACACAAAATAAATAGATAAAATAAGAACAGCAACAACAACACCCCCAGCCCTTCTGACAGTCTGCCAGAGAGCATATATGCCAGGAAAGGCCTCTCTAAAGTATTCTGAGTCGCATCAATAATTTTTTGTAAAGTTTTTCAAACGTAAAACATTCAAGTTTTTCTGCGGTGAAAAAGCACACTGCCATCACATTTGGTAGTTAACAGTGGTTTGTGGTGTATTTCTTCATCTCTTTGACCACGTATCAACTGATCCCTTTGGGTCCATTATAAGCAGATGGCAGACAGCACTGTGCTTGACTGCTGAGTGTTTCAGTTTATCACTGAGTACCATTCAGGATGTATATATTTTAAGTGCTGTGTGCCTAGTACAGAAAATATGTGCCTGGGGTTAAAGAATACGCCTTTATTAGTTCCTTCATATTTTACAAATGCAGTCACATTGTATAATTAACATTTTCTTGCTGTGTTTGTTTGTCATCCGCTCTCCATCTATTCACAAAGAACCACCGAACATACAGTAATGGGCACTCTTTGGTTGGTTTCAAACTTGAGCAAACAAGCAAGCATCTGCGTCCTTACAGAGCTAATACTCTGTATAGTAAAGCAGATGGAAAGCAAGCGATAACAGGGAGAGATGCTTCTGTTAGTACGAGAAGCAAATGCTACATAAACCCAGGGAAGAAGAATGAAAGGGTTTGTATATGTGTGTGAAGAGGGTAGCAAATGACATTCTAGAAAATGTGGCTAAGGACAGAAGATATCCGAGGCAGGAGGACCCTTCCTATGGTCTTAGTGTATTTCCCTAGGGTTCCATGGCTGGGAATGTGTAGCAGTGTTGACAGGTGGGAGATTGGAGATGTTAAGAAGTGGGGTTTAGTGGAAGGTATGCCATTGTGGGGGATATTCTTGAAAAAATTTTTATAAAGTTTTCAAACATAAAACATTCAAGTTTTTCTACAGTGAACAAGCACATAACTGCCATCATGTTTGGTAGTTAACATTGGTCTGTGTGTATTTCTTCATCTCTTTGACCATGCATCAACTGATGCTGACCATCCTTGGGAGTGGGGGAATTGTTAAATGAATGCAACAGGTGCCTCCACGCTTTTAGCTTCCATGTTTTTTGACATAAAATCTGAGTTGTTTCTATACCCTCTGTCATGAGGCCTTAATCGGACATATGTAAAG